GCAACAGCTGCAGCAGCAACAGCTGCAGCAGCAACAGTTGCGGCAGCAACAGTTGCGGCAGCAACAGCTGCAGCAGCAACAGTTGCGGCAGCAACAGCTGCAGCAGCAACAGATGCGGCAGCAACAGCTGCAGCGGCAACAGATGCAGCAACTGCTGCTGCTGCAGTTGCAGCTATCCGAAGGACATTTTTCCTACGAAACGTAAAAATGTGTAAATATTATGCTTCACCTCCCCTCCTACAGCAACAATAGCAGCAGCAGCAGCAGCAGGCGGTGCTGCTACTGCCAGGGCAGTTTAGGGGTACAACGACACGCGATAGGCTGACCATTAGCAGCAGCAAATTGGTGCAGCAAAAGCAGCAGCAGCAGCAGCTGCAGTAGCATCAGCAGCAGCTGCTGTCGTCACACGTCTAGATGTAGCTAGCGAGCAGCAGCAGTAGCAGCAACAGAAGGAGCAGCAGCTGCAGCAGCTGATCTGCTGCAGTTGCTGGTGCCTTTGGAGGCCGCTCTTAGAACTATGCTGCTTCCTCTGGCTGCTGTTGCTGCGCTGCACCGTAGAGGATTTGCAGTAGCAGCAGCAACAACAGCAGCGGCTGCTGCAGCAACGAAATGCCACCCCTTTAAATGTACGGTCTGGGAAAAAAACAGCAGCAACTGCTCCAGCTGTTACAGCTGCAGCAGCAACAGCAGCTGCAGCAGAAACAGCTGCATCAGCAACGGCAGCTGCAGCGACAGCTGCGGAAGCTGCAGCCGCAGAAGCTCCTGCAGCAACAGCTGCGGAAGGTGCAGCAGCAGGAGAAGCTGCAGCAGCACCAACTGCTCCTGCAGAGGCTGCAGCAGCAGCAGCTGTAGCAACTGCTGCATCTTAAAGAGGCTGCAGCAGCAGCAGCAGCTGCTGCTGCTGCTATTACGTGCGGCGAGACGGTGCGGGCATTGGCCGTAGCGCAGCGAGCAGCTTCGCGGTTGACTCTGCTGCTGCTGCTGCTGGCATTGCTGTTGCTGCTGCTGCAAGCTGCTGCTGCCGCATCAGAAGCTGCTGCTGCACTGAGGGTTGCGCCTGCTGCTGACGAGGAGAGGGAGGCATGCTAGGTGAGGCGGTAGCGAAGGCAGCAGAGGCTGTCTCTGTTGCTGAGTGCTTGTCCTGCTGCTGCTGCTGTTGCTGCTGCTGCTGCTGCGGCACGGAGTAGCGATCAAGGTACAGCTGCAGCTGGCGCGACGTCAGCTCCTTGTTGAGGCGCGCGTTCACTGCAGCAGCAGCCGCAGCAGAAACAGTAGTTGCCGGAATTGAGGGGCAGCAGATCCAGCAGCAGCAGCCAGAGCAGCAAGGGCAGCAGCAGCAACAGCAGCAACAGGAGAGCTCACTTTCTTTCGATGCCTCTAATTCCGCCTGAAGCCTCTGGACTTGGGATGCGAGGCTTTGACATTCTGCATGCAGCATTTGCTGCTGCTGCTGTTGTTGCTGTTGCTGCTGCTGCAGCTTTTGCTGCTGCTGCTCCCTCTGCTGCTGCGCGTCTTCCAGCTCCTTAAGCTTCGCCTGTGCTTCTTGCATAGCCTGCAGCAGCAATCGAGCAGCAGAAGCAGACTCGGCAGTAGCAGCAGTCGCCGCAGCAGTAATACCACCAGCATCAGCAACTAAAGCAGCAGCAGCAACAGCAGCAACTCACCGCCGTTGCTGCTGCAGCCTCTGCAGCGCTCTGCTTGGCCTTCGCTTTGCTGCTGCGCATCGACTGCTGCAGCTTGGCGACGACTTCATTCCCCTAAACCACAACAAACACGTTGCTGCTACTGTTGCTGCTTCTGCTGCTGCAGCAGCAGCTGTTGCTGCTGCTCGCACAGAGGGAGGAGGATAAGACACAAACAAATGAAATAAAGAGACAAACAAATGTAATAAAGAAGACAGCAGCAAACTCGCAACCCTACGCGCTCTAATTCCCTTAGGAGATGATCGACTTCAGCAGCACGAGCCGCATGCTCTGCTTTGAGTTGCTGCAGCTCCTGCTGCTGCTGCTGCTGCTGGCTGCTGCGCTCCTGCTGCTGCTGCTCCGCACGCTGTGCTGCTGCAGTCGCCTCCTCCACCTGCTCCTGCAATCTGCTGTTCTGCTGCTGCAGACGCTGCAGCTCTTCCATCTGCAGCTGCTGCTGCTGCTGCGCCTGCCTTGCTGCTTGCTGCGCTGCCTTTTCAGTTGCTGCAGCAGCAGCAGCAGCAGCACGCGCCTCACCCAACTGTTGCTCCACCACCTGCAGCTGCTGCTGCTGCTCCGCAGCAGTGGCCTCCAGCTGCAGCAAACGGCACAGCAACTCCAGCAGCAACCCAAAGGCTTCGCAACAGCAGCAGCAGCATCAACAGCAGCAGCAACAACAGCAGCAGCAACAACGCACCTGCAGCACTCGTTGCTCTGCGCTCTGCAGCCGCTGCGTGAGATGGTGACACTGCTCCTCGTGCTGCTGTTGCTGTTGCTGCTGTTGCTGCTGGTGGTGCAGCAACAGTTGCCGCTGCTGCTCCTCTGCAGCAGCAGCTGCTTCCTCCTGTTGCTGCTGCTGCTGCTGCGCGAGCTGCACCAGGGACGCCTCTCTGAAGTCACAGCAACACCCGATAGACGAACGATTTGGTGCTGCAGCAGCAGCAGCTTCTGCATTTGCTGCTGCTGCTGCTGCTGCTGGAGATTGCTGCACTGACTGGGAGTGAGGAACTGCAGCTGCTTACGTCTGCTGTTGCTGCTGCTGCAGCAGCAGCAGCAGCTGGCGGTTTTCTCGTTGGAGGTCCGCTGCAGCACCCCGAAACGTCGCGCAGTGACGCTGCAGCAGCAGCAGCAAACCCATAGAAGCAGCAGCAGCTGCATACACCGCAGCAGCCGCAGCTACAGCAGCCACAACAGCAGCAACAGCTGCAGCAGCAACGGTAGAGGAGCAGCCAGCTGTTTACCTGGAAGTACTGGAGGTGAGATGTGAGGTGCCTGTACACCTCAGCAGCTGTCCCTGCTTTCAAGTCGAAGTAGAGATGAATTAACTCTCTAAATGCATTTGTCTCTATGAGACGCAGCACAGCTGCAGCAGGAGGCCCTTTGGCTGTTGCTGCAGTTGCTGCTGCTGCTGTTGCTGCTGCCACCGCGCGCCTCGCTGCTGCAGCTGCTGCAGGCGTCTCCTCAGAAGACAGAGCCGTTGCTGCAGCAGCAGCAACAGTGGAGGCTCCAGACAAACCCGCAGCAGCAGCAGCAGCAGCCTGCGCAGCAGCAGCCTCTGGAGACAGAACCAACACTGCAACAAGCCTGCAGCAGCAGCAGCAGCAGCAGCAGCGGCAAGGTGCACGAACTGCAGCCAGAGCAGCAGTAACAACAGGTGCAGCGGCAGCACCAAATGCAGCAGCAGCACCAAATGCAGCAGCAGCACCAACTGCAGCAGCAGCAGCAGCAACCCAGCTTACCGTTGCTGCATCGGCTCTGCAGCGGCGTCAGCGATGCATTCCTTCACAAGATCAACAACCTGCAAGGCCGGGCAGCACCCCAAACCCTAAACCCTAAACCCTAAAAAGCGCATCCCAAAGAGAAGATGCTGCTCACCACCTGCAGCACGAGGGTTTAGGGTTTGGAGGCAGGACTAGGGTTTACGGAGGTTCCGTATGAGAAACAGGGCTAAGGGTTTAGGGTTAATGAGGGTTAGGGTTTATGAGGGTTTGGGGTTTATGAGGGTTTAGGGTTTGGCTCTGGCTTGCCCTGAATCCGAAGGCCTTAAAGTCTACACGCAGCTGCTGCTGCTGCTGCAGAGCAGCAAAACTGCTGCTGGAGATGCTGCAGCTAAACAAGAACGGCGGGCACTCCGGGTCGCTCAACTCCACGCGCAGCCCCTGCAGCAGCAGCAGCAGAAGGAGCAGCAGTTAGCACGAAGCGTTTGCTGCTGCATTCAACGAGACGGCAGAAGCAGCAGCGAGAGCAACGACCGCACCAGCAGCAGCTGCATTAGCAACTGCAGCAACGGCAACAGCGGCAGCAGCAGCAGCGGCAGTACCTCGTTATCTTTGTACAGCCTGAAGCACAGGCTTCTAGCATATCCAATGTTGTTGCTGCTGCTGCTGCTGTTGCTGCAGTCCTCCTGCGTTGCAATACGAACCTTTAAACGGGAGCTGAACATACACACCGTGCCTGGCGCAGCAGCAGCAGCAGCAGCAGCAGCAGCAGAACACCAGCACCCGTCCACGCCGCAGGGCCCCAAGTCCCGCAGCTCCTCGCTGCTGCAGCAGCAGCTGCTGCTTATGTGCTGCGGGCTGCCGCCTAGCCACCCTCGTGCTGCTGCTGCTGGGTCTCCTGCTGCTGCTGCTGCTGCTACTGCGTCTGCTGCAGCAGCAGCAGCAGGGTGCGTCTCAGCGTGGTGCTGAAGGTGCCATGAGGGATCTGTGCAAGGGTATGCCGGGACACCGCCGCAGCTGCAGCCTGCTGCTGCGGTTGCTGCTGCTGCTGCTGCAGAGCTGCGGCTGCCAGCAGACAGGAGAGCGGCTCCTCTGTAGCAAGCAGGTACGGGTGCAGCAGACAATTGTATCTGGTGCGGCTGCAGCCGTTCCTGCTGCTGCTGTTGCTCCTGCTGCTGAAGGTCGTGAGCAGCAGCGGGCTGCTGCTGCTGCAGGGGGAGGTCCTGTTGCTGTAGCTGAAGCTGCTGCTGCGCCAGCTGTTGCCGCAGGCGCTCTACTTCTTCGTGGATATTCTGGCGCTGCTGCGGCTGACTACGCTGCTGCTGCTGCAGCTGCTGCTGCTGCTGTTGGTGGTGCTGCTGTAGCAGCTGCTGCTGCTGCCGCTGCAGCAGCTGCTGGTGGTAGTTTTGTTCAGTGCTGCTGCTCCGATGCCACTGCACAGCAGGCTTTGGAGAGAATGTTAAGTGCTGCTGCTGCTGTTGCTGTTTCTGCTGCTGCTGTTGCTGCTTCTGTTGCTGCAGCTCGCCCAACCAAGTCGGCTGCAGCTGGGGACTGAGTGTTTGCTGCTGCTGCTGTGCAGTGTACACTCTGTCCGCAGCTGTTGCTGCTGCTGCTGCTCGCGCTGCAGGACCTGGAGGCCCAGCTAAGGCCTCCATCTGCTGCAGCAGCATGTAGCAGCAGCTGCCGCCTGCGGCGCTTCCGCTGCTACTACTGCTGCTGCTGCTGGCCCGGCAGAAGGCAGCAGGCACAACAGCAGCAGCAAGCGCAGCAGGTGAAGTTGTTATGGATGCCTTCACTGCAGCAGTCCCTTGCAGTGGGCGTTAAACAACGGGCACAGCAAATTGGCTGCAGCTGCTGCAGCAGTTGCTGCGGTTTGTGCTGCTGTTGCTGCAGCTACAGTGCCGGTCTCCACGGTTGAGCGCGAACAACTCGGCATGCTTAAAACTCAGATTTCGGTGCTGCTGCTCCTGCAGCAGCAGCACCAGCTGCAGCAGCAGCAGCCAGCACCACGATCACCACCTCCGCCACCCCTCTTGAGGCAGCCCCGTGGCAGCAGCAGCAGCAGCAGCTGCTGCTGCTGCTGCTGTTTGTCGTCTGATTGAAGAAGACATTTGTATTAAATATATTAAATTTATTATCCTTCTGCATGCATGCGGCCTTGAGGCGAGCGGCCTAAGCGGCAGCAACCGCAGCAGCAGACACACGAGCTGCTGCAGCAAAACCCTGCTGCTGCGGTAGATTCCTACAGCGGATGTACGCTGCTGCCTGCTGCGCTGCTGCTGCTGCTGCTGCACCATTTGCTGCTTGTCTTTCAACATGAGCTACTCTCAACGGGGGCAAGACCCTTCTGGCGGCGGGGCCGCAGTAGCAGCAGCAGCGACAGCCGACACCGCAGGAACAGCAGCAGCAGCTGCTACTGCACCTCGTGAAGAGGCCAGCGTAGCAGCAGCAGCAGCAAAAGGTGGAGCACCACCAGACTTCGCTGTAGATCTCATTACTACTCTCTACAACGGCATTCTCGGCGCAGCCGACGACCTCTGCAGCAACAGCAGCAGCAGCAGCAGCAGCAATGGCTGCAGCAGCAGCAACGCGGAAATGTGCCGAGCAGGGCTGCAGCATATGGCAGCAACAGCAGCAACGCTTGCAGCAGAAATGCTGCCGCAGGAGCTGTACGACGCCCTGCAGCAACTTGCTGCGCTGTCTTCGCGTCCAGCAGCAGACAGCAGCAGCAACAATCACATACCAGGAGAGGCAGAGCAGCAGCAGCAGCAGCAGCAGCAGCAGCAGCCACCGCATGCCCCTGCGGTGGCCGTCCCCTTTCTTAGCCTAGAGGGCCCTGATATATGCGTGCACTTCCCACCAGACCCAGCAGCAGCAACAGCAGCAGCAGGCGCTGCTCCAGAGACAGAAGAAGGAGCAGCAGGAAAAGCAGCAGAAGGAAGTGCTTCAGACCTGCCAGAGGCTTCTAGTGCCTCCGACGATCCAAGTGGCCCGCAGCAGCAACAGCAGCAACAGCAGCAACAGCAGCAGCTGGAGCAGCAGCAAGAGCAGCAGCTGCTGCACCTCAATGAGCAGCAGCTGCGTCTCCTCTGCGCTGCTGTTGCTGTGCTGCACGATGCGGCAGCAGAAGAGCTCCAGGCATTTTGGAATGTCGCGCCCCATTTGCTGCAGCAGGTGCAGCGAGCTGCTGCAGCAGATGCAGATAGCAGCAGCAAGCAGCAGCACAAACCCACAGATTTGCTGCTCACCACCTGTAAGGAAGGGCCTGCAGCTGATGCACTGCAGCAGCTGCAGCAACTCGCAGGGGGACGCAGCAACCTGCTGCTTCTGCTAGGTCTGAAGCCAGCAGGAGCAGCAGCAGCGTCAGCAGCAGCAGCAGCAGCAGCAGGAGCAGCATCAGTAGCAGCAGCAGCACCCGAGAACAGCACATGTGCAACGAATTTACCTGAGGAGGCACAAAGTGTGCGCACCGAAGTTGCAGCAACAGAGCAGCCTGCAGCAACAGCAGCAGCAGCAGCGGCCCCTGCTGCTGCCCCTCGCGTTGTGTCGCTAGCAGAAATAAAAGACCTCTTCCTGCTGCAAGACATGCAGCAGCAGCAGCGGCGCAACAGCAGTGCTGCCACCGTCTCGGTGGTGTCTGTGGGGTCGAGCATCCCGAATTCCCCAGCAGCAGAAGCAGCAGCAGGAGCGGCAGCAGCAGAGAGCTCTGGACCTCCGTCTCCACCTCCAGCAGCAGCAGCAGCTGCTGCTTCCACAGCAGCAGCAAGAGTAGAGGAGAGGAGCGGGCTGCAGCAAGTCGCGCTGCAGCTGCAGCAGCTACATGCAGCAATCCGAGAAGAGACGCGGAAGCTGCAAGAGCTCTGTTCTTTCTACGATATGTTTGCAGCCCAGTCCCTTGGCATTGCCGCTGATACACCTTAGCAGCAGCAGCAGCTGCTTCTGCTGCTGCAGCTGCAGTGGCAGCAGCACAGCAGCAGCTGCCGCTGCGACACACACGTGCACTACGCTGTGCTGATTGAGCAGCAGCAGCAGCTGCTGCTGTTGATGCTGTGACACCAGGTATACACGCCCGCGTGCTGCAGCAGCAGCGTTGCTCGCAGCGTGCAGCAGCAGCAGATGCTGCTGCTGTGGGGCGGTCCTCCGTTGGCTGTTTTTAGGAAACGGTATCTGCGGCTAACAGCTAACTGGCACCTCCCTCATTGGCTAGCTAGCTAGCTAGCGGGTCCAATTAGTTAGCTAGGTAGCCACACACAGCTAGCTAGCTAGCCAGCTAGCTAGGCACGCAGCTAACGAGATAGCTAGGTAATCATAAGCAGATAGATAGCTAGCAGTCACACACAACTCGCTAGCTAGCTAGCTAGCCAGCTAGCCAGCGAGACACGGAAGCTGTCGGGTACTGTCAAATAAGAAAAGGTCTACAGGCCAAATGGCCAACAAGAAAACGTTGTTGCTGCAGCAGCAGGAGATAATGCTACTGCAGCAGCAGCAGCTGATGCGGGTACTAGTGCCGCCGCTGCCGCTGCTGCTGCAGCTGCTGCTGTTGCTGCTGCTGAAGGGAAAGGGGCTTGAGGGGCCCTTGTCTAAACGCTGCTGCCTTCTTGCATGCAGTAGCAAAGAGCCACGGCGCCACAAGATCTGCTGCAATGAGGAGATAGAGCTGCAGCAGGAAGCTGGTGTCCGTGAAGAGGACGAGTTCAAGGGTTTGATTGAGGAAGGGTGCTAACTGCAGCAGCAGCAGCAGCAGCAGCAAGGAGCTGCCGAGAAGCATCTTCTTTAGGTTTTTGTTCTGCAGCAGCGGAGGGGCCCAAGGGGCCCCCTCATAGTTTGCAATAAAAGTAGATATATGCATTGTTAGCAGCAAATAAAAAGTAGCGGTGTTAACTGCATCCGGTTGAAAAGGCTCTTCAGAATCGTACATGTACATCTCCCCCTTCCCGCTGCTGCTGCTGCTGCTGCTGCTGTCACGAATGGCGCGAGCTAAAACCCAAGTCCTTGCTAAACACCAGACGTGTACAGCCGCCTGAGCAACAAGGGAGACGATGCCCCAGAAGGAGAAGACAGAAGTTGGCGGGGGTCTATCACCCATATACTGATCCTGCTGCTGCGGCTGCTGCTGCTGCTGCTGCTGTTGCTGCTGTTGCTGCTGCTGGTGCTCGACAGCTGAGGAGTTGAGGCAAAGGGTAAGTGCTGTAGACAGGGCGCTCTCCAAGGCTGCCTGGAGGTCGCTGAAGCGAACGCCATCGGTAGACAAGACAGAAAGCGAAAATGCAGATACACTGCAATTGAGAGCTATGAGGCGGTGCAGCAGCAGCAAAGCAGACAAGCAGCAGCGGCCCTGAAGAATAACCCGAGAGACAACGCTAATGCCGCTCTCACGACAGGTAAATGCTGCTGCTACAGAAGCAGAACCTAGAGGCACTAAGGTGCTGTCTCCTGCTAATCCATCTAGAGCTCGTTCAACAAACTGCTGCCGCTGCAGCTGCAGCTGCTGCTGCAGCTGCTGCTCGTAATGCTGCGCGTGCTGCTCATCCAGAGCGTCGTGCTGCTGGTTAATCTTAGCATGAAGCCTTGCATGAATCTGCTGGTGCAGCAGCAGCTGCTGCTGTGTGTTAAGCATGTGAGTCCGCGGATCGTCCAATAGCTGCAGCTGCTGCTGCTGCAGAAGCTGCATCTGGTGCATCTGCTGCTGCTGCAATTGCTGCACCTGCTGCTGCTGCACATCCTGCAGCTCCTGCATCTGCTGCTCCTGGTGCTGCTGCTGCAGCTGCTGCTGCCGTGACTGCAAACCTCCGGCGCTGCCAGCTGCGCCGGATCGCGCAGCAGCAGCAGCAACAGCAGCACAAGGCGAGCTGGACAGGACAGACACCCCAACAGCAGCAGCTTTTAAAGCCCCAATATCATTTGCACCGTCGCCGCACATCAAGACAGGGAACCCCTCAGCAGCAAATGCATTAACTACTTGCTGCTTCTCTCTGGGAGATAGACGAGCGAAGACACGCACGTAACGGACGAGCTGCCGCAGCAGCACCTGCTGCTCCTCCTGCTCTTGCTCCTCCTCTTCCTGCTGCTGCTGCTGCTGCAGTGCCAGTTCTTCTTCCCTCCATGCACGCTCGTCCCTATTGCCTTCCTGCTGTCGCTGCTTCTGCTGCTCCAGCTGCTGCTGCTGTCGCTTCTGCTGCTGCAGGTGCTTCTGCTGCTGCAGGTACTGCAGCACCGTCCCGCACACACAGAATGCATACGTAGTGGAAGCATGGGGCCTCAGTGCAGCAGCAAAAGGCAGCCTCACGCTGCGGTCAGCAGACACCCATTCCAGCATCTCCTCTACGCTGCATTTAGATACGCTGCGGCTGCTGCTGCTGCTGCTGCTGCTGTCCGCTGCTGCTTTTGCTGCTGCTGCTGCTGTACGACGGGCTCGAGGTTGCTGTGGCTGCGAACTGGCGGCCGCATTTTCAGTCGTCTCCGCATTCTCTGCGAGACTGAGGAAGAGCGGCAGCAGTTTTGCTGTTCCGTCGCTGCTGCTGCTGTTTTTGCTTTCGTTGGTGTCTTCGTTGCTGGTGGTGCTGCTGCTGCCGCAGCAGCTCGGGACGCCGCAGGTGCTGGGGTGGTGTATGATCCCGACATCAGCAGCAACAGCAGCAGCAGTGAGTGCATGGTCTCCTGTTAGCATAACAACTTGGTTGCCGCTGCTGCGCAGCAGCTGCACCTGCTGCTGCACCCCCGGCTTGATTGCAGCAGCAAAAGACAAAAACCCACAGAACAGCAAATCCCTCTCCAGCGCCTCCCGCGGAGAAGACTGAGGGTTCGTTGTGCACAGGCGCGCAGCTACAGCCAGCACCCGCAACCCCTGCAGCAGCAGCAGCAACAGCAGCAGCACACGCAACAGCAGCTGCACCAAACAGCTGTAATAGACGTGCGCATACACATCCCCAAAGGCTAAGCTCACAGCCGCACGGTAGCCAGCACGAAGCCGCAGAAGCCAGTCTCCTACCCAACAGCAGCAGCAGCAGCAGCAGCAGCAGCAGCAGCAGCACGACGCACTCTGCCTGTGAGTTCATCTGCCATTGAATCGTAAGAGGGTGGGACATTCGCAAGGAATTGTTTTATGCGCTCTGGGGCGCCTTTAACAGCAACGATGAAGCCTTTTTGCTTCCGCTGCAGCAGCTGACGCAGCTCCTGCTGCTCCTCCTGCTGCTGCTCTCCCTGCTGCTGCTGCTGCTGGTTGTGGGGCCCGCGCCACACATCCGTTGCTACGGTGAACTCTGCCACAGAAGTTGTACGCTGCAGATTTGAGGTGAAGGGGAAACAAAGCAGCAGAGACAGATGCGCAACCGCGTCTCCCCGCTCACCTGCAGCAGCAGCAGCACAAGCAGCAGCAGCAGCAGCAAAAGCAGCGAGATCCACATACACTAGACTGATGAAGATATTACAGGAGGTGCTTACACCAGCAGCAGCAGCGCTAACTGCAGCGCCCGTCCCCAACGACTGCAGCGTGAACAGCAGCAGCTGGGACATTGCCCCAGCAGCAGCAGCAGCAGCAGCGGCAGCAGCACGGACTTCGCAGCATCGCAGATCGCTGAGAAGGCAGCTTCCAGCCGAAGCTTTTAAAGGCCTCCAACTCGAGAGGATCTCCAACGGGTACTCCGTTGCTGTCGGGCCGCAGACAGTGGCACGAACCAACAGCTAAAGCTGTCATCAGAGGCAACTCCTGCAGCAGCAGCAGCAGCAAAAGCAGCAGCAACGGGAAACAGCAGCACAAATGCAGCAGAAAACCACAGCATGGATCTATTCGCCGCTAGACTAAAGACGGCAGGACTCAAGAAAGGCGAACTAAACTCTAAACCCTAAACCCTAAACCCTAAACCCTAAACTTTGGACCCCAAAGTGCCAAACCCAGCCTTTAAAGCCTAAAGAATAAAGCGCGGCAACAGCCACAGCAGCTGGTGGTGGTGGTGCTGCTGCTACTGCTCGTAGCCGCTGCTCGCTGCTGCTGCAACAGGTGGAGCATACCTGTTGCTGCAGCAGAGATGGTCTAGAGCTTAAATCCGTGCTTGGCAGGTGGTTCTGGGTGTGCTGTTGCTGTTGCTGCCGCCGCTGCTGCTGCCGCCGCTGCTGCTGCTGTTGCTGCTGCTGTCGCTGCTGCTGCTGCTGTTCCTGCTGCTGCTGCTGCTGCTGATGCTTGTCAAGGTCCTGAGGTTTGCTGCCAACGCCAAAGACACCCAGTAGGTTGTACTTGTGGTACGTGAGGGTCCCGGTCTTGTCAAAGGCAATAACACGCACTCCTCCTGCCGCAGCAAGTCTGCAGCAGCAGCAGCAGCAAAACAAGCGGCAGCAGCAGCAGCAGCAACAACAGAACAAATAACAGCACCAGCCGGACCTTCCTGAGCCAGTGCAGTCGCTATAGCAGCAGAAACGTACAGCAGCAAACCCCACCGCCAGAAACCCAAGCCACCGTCAGCAGCAGCAGCAGCAGCAGCAGCACAAGCAAGAGAGGCAGCGGCAAGAACAAAGCAAGTGCCGATCACCCAACAAGAAGCCAGCAGCAGTAGGACCACCAGCAGCAAAAGCAGCACGAGAGGCAGCAGCAGCAGCGGCATACTTGAGTGTGTCTGTACAGCAGACGCCTGCCTTTGCAAGATGAAGAACGCCGACAGTAAGGGTGAGAGACAGCAGCATCGGGAACTCAGGGGGTACAACGGAAGTAATGATGTGAGAGAGTGAGAGCAGCAGCCGCCAGGTAGAAGGCTTGCGGCGGTGCTGCTGCTGCTGCAGCTGCTCCAGCTCCTGCTGCAGCTGCTCCGCAGATGGCTGCAGGAACTGCAGCAGCGGCGGCAGCTGGTTGTAGTAGTAAGAGAAAGGAGACACAGGAGATGTACACGTTACGAAGCAGCAGCAGCACAAGGCCAGCAGCAGCAGCACAAACAGAAACAGCCAACCCTCCCTGCTTGTTGCATGCGGCGCCTTCGTTGTCTCAATCAAAGTGCGCAGCAACTGACCCTGCAGCACCAGCAGCAGCAACCGCAGCAGCATCAGCAACATAAGCAGCAACAATGCAAACAGCAGCAGCAGCATGCAGGTTATCTACGCAAATGTGCCGTCAACGCGCCCAGCCAACAACACGCACCACCCTAAACCCTAAACCCTAAACCCTAAACCCTAAATTCAAAATCCCAAAGCCAACTCTCCATGGCCTAACCTCTATTCCCTACGCCATACGTTTCAAACAGCCGTACGCCCCAAGCCCTAAACCCTAAACCCTAAACCCTAAACCCTACCTCCGTGGTGGCGAAGCCTGTGCGCACTGCAAGTGCAACGGGTGCGGCGTTCGGCAGTCTGCAGCAGCCGAGGCCTACGGCCCCTTCATTTTCTGCTGCCAGCAGCGAGGTCCCTGCATGCACATGAACCCACTGCAGCTAGCTACAGCTAGATATAGCTAGCTACAGCTAGATATAGCTAGCTACAGCTGGCCACAGCTAGCTACAACTCGCTGTCACTGGACGCAGAAAAATGCTCCTCGAGGCAATAGCTAGCTGCAGCTAGCTGCGCTACACCGAAACAGACAGCTAGCTGCGGCTACTCCTAGCCAGCCAGCAGCAGCAGCAACATTCACAGACAGACACCGCCACAGAGGGCAAGACCCCGTAGCAGTGACTCAGGCTGCGTTCAAGGGTTTAGGGTTTAGGGTTTAGGGTTTCCCCCCACCTGCACAGAAGGAAAATTGCTTATGCTGACCCTGCCAGTCGAGGCGCTCCTCCAGAGCCCCCGTCTCTGCAGCCGTCAGTGACAGCGCCGCCTTCGCCTGCGGTATGGCTTCTCCTGCAGCAGCAGCAGCAGCAACAGCAGCAGCAGAAACAGCAGCAGCAGCAGATGAGTGCAAACGGCGACAAGCTGCTGCAGCACGCAAGAGCAGGGCTTTGGAATGCAGCGCGACAGCCAGGGTTTAGGGTTTAGGGGTTAAAGGGTTTGCACCTGTTAGTAAGGACTCGTCAATCACCGCAGTGCCCTGCAGCAGCAACCCATCGACTGGGGCTAGGAGAGGTGCGCTGCTGTTGCTGTTGCTGCTGCTGCTGGTGCTGCTGCTGCTGGTGCTGCTGCTGGTGCAGTTGCTGTTGCTGCTGCTGCTGCTGGTGGTGCTGCTGCTGCTCCGTTTGTGCTCAAGATCCCAGCAGAAGACGTCTCCAGGAAGCAGCTCTGCTGCATTCACGAGCCGCCACGAGCACGTGCTGCCGCTGCCGCTTCTGCTGCTTTGTTTGCGGTGTACATACACCCGAGGGGGGACCGGCTGCATCTGCCGCACTCGCAGCAACTCCCTCCGGTGTTTGAATGCTGTCTGCAGCACCAGCAGCACCGCATGCAGGCCCACAACATGCGAACAGCAGCAGCAGCAGCAGCAGTAGCAGCAGCAAAAGCGAGCATAGTAAAATGAAGGCGGCTGCAGCAGCAAAACAAACAGCAGCAGCATCAGCAGCAGCAGAACAAACAGCAGCAGCAGCAGCAGACCTGTGCCTCGACAAGGGTTAAGAGGAACAGCGTAGTTAGAGGAAAGCCCCAGTATCCATCAAGCAGCCACAAGCAGACGCATGCAGCCTGGAAGCAAAAGAAAGGAGACACCAGCTGCTGCTGCAGCAGCACAGCAAATGGCGGCACCGGGACTTCGCAGCAGTTGGGGCCGAACCGCAGCTGTGCATCGCACACGAACTTATCCATCCCTCCTGCTGCTGCTGGTGCTGCTGCTGGTGCTGGTGCTGCTGCTGAAGGCAAGCCTTCTATAAGCCCCGTCCACCCTAAATAGGAGCGTAGCGGCAGATGCTGCGGCGGCACAACGGGGAAGAAGTCCCTTCTCTCTAAATCGTACAAGTACCGCTGCCCCCTGAGCGTTATCAGCAATTCAAACTGCTGCTGCTGCTGCTGTTGCTGCTGCTGCTGTTGGGCGCGGTGGGAGTGTTGAGGACGTCTTGATGCTGGTGCTACTGTAGCAATAGCTGCTGCTGATCCGCGCTGCAGCAGCTCGATGGGCACCAGGTAATCCTCCTTGTCGTCAGCCCCAGCATAAACAAACACGTGTGTTGCTGCTGCTGCTGCTGCTGCTCCACCTGCTGCAGCAGCTGCTGCTGCTGCAGGGCCGCACACACGGTAGTTCTTCCATCGCTGTAGCCGCAGCACCCAGCAGCTCGCAAGCACCAGACCGCCCCACAGTAGCAGCAGAAGCAGCAGCAAAACGGAGCTCCGCGTCTGCAGCAGCCACGGCAGCGCCTCTTCCTCGTCGCCTTCTGCTGCAGCAGGTGCTGCGTCTGCTGCTGGCAATGCATCCGCAGCAGCCGCAGCAGCACCTGCTGCAGCAGTGATAGCAGGGTCTTCTGAAGCAAAAGCAGGCACCTCCCCAGGCAAAACTCCCTCTCCTGCTGCTGCAGCTATATTTGCTGCAGCACCCTGGCCTACAGCAGCAGCAGCTGCTGCAGCGGTTGCTGCTGCTGCTGCTGCAGCCTGGTGTAGCTCCTCATGCTCCTTAACAGCGAGGACTAGCAGCACAACAGCAGCAGCTAGCGGCAGCAGGTCGGGCCTTTGCCAGAGGGATCGCGGCTTAAGTAGCTGCGCCCTACGACCAAGGGGCAGCGGATGCACCTGCATCCCTAAACCCTAAACCCTAATCCCTAAACCCTAATTTCAGGCCCCAGTCGTAAACTCTAGGTCCTATGTTTCAGGCCCTTCACCCACCCTGCATGCCCAATGGCAAAGCCAGAGAGCAACACCGTCAGGTGCGTCTGTACCCCCGGTGATTAGGGTTTAGGGTTTAGGGTCTTCGTGGTGATTTGGCGGCACATCCAGGGGTGTGGGAGGCGATGCGTGGGGTTTAGGGTTTAGGGTTTAGGATCTATGGTTTGAGGGTTTGGAGGTTAGAGTAAAGAGTCTAAGGACAGCCACTTGGAACGAAGAAAAATACCGGTGTACACGCAGCAGCACCAGCAGCAAACAAAATAAAGAATAACGGCGAGCCTGAGCTGCTGCAGCGGAGTAGGGTTTGTAGAAGAGGAAATAATTGTATTAGGCTTATGTAGCTGGTGACAAAAAAGGGGAATTAAGGTTTAGTGTTTAGGATTTAGGGTTTAGGGTTTAGGGTTTAGGGTTTAGGGTTTAGAGGGTTGGGGTCGGGGCTTTAGTAGCTACACTAGTAAACCCTTGGCGCTCTCTGTGCGCTGTCTCGCCTGGCGGTTCAACATATGGGTATGTCCTGTGGAGTTTCTGTTTTGCATTTGCATTTTTTGTGTCTGAATTCGAAAATAGTGTTTATTTCCTGCAGAAACTGTTTTCTTTTATCAAAAATGAAGGTTTCTACTTCCCTGGCGGCCGCTGCATTCGCAGTAGCTGCGGTGTCTGGAGCTGCCGGTACACCCGAAACGAACCCGAAGCTTTCGGGTGAAAAGTTGGCAGAATTGATGCAATTGAGTTTAAGTGAAATAAAAAATAGAATGGAGACCATTTTTTCTCTAGTAGACACAAACGCAGACGGCCAGATTACTGCAGAAGAAGCACAGGCCTGGAGTGCGCGACTGAAGGAAGCAATGCATAAACACCAAGTCAAACAAGAATTCATCTCAATAGATAAAAATAATGATGGTAAAATCACCCTAGAAGAGCTAGAGGTAACATACACAGACGGCAGCGACCCTGCCAGCCAGGAGGCGCACAAGGTAAGCGTTTATGGTCTAGTGTTTAGGTTTTAGGGTTTAGGGTTGCGGTGGGGGTTTGAGATTGAGGGGTTAGGGTTTAGGGGTTAGGGTTTTCCTGCTGTGAAACGGCCTCTGCGTTGGCGTGCAGGAGGACGTGAGGAAGAGATTCGCCGCCGTAGACAAAGACAATAGTATGTCTCGCCCATGGCTTTTCCTCTGTTTAGGGTTTAGTGTTCAGGGTTTAGGTTCTAGGTTTTAGGGTTTAGGGTTTGTGGCTTGGGGTTTGAGCGCAGGTGGAAGCCTGAGCCTCGAAGAGGTTACAATTCTTATGGACCCGGGGAAGGATGAAATGCTCATGCAGATTGAAGTGGATGAGATTATGGCGGTGAGTGGAAGGCTTACGCAGGGTTTAGGGTTTAGGGTTTAGGGTTTAGGGTTTGGAGTGAGTTGGCTGCTGCTCTTCTTGTTTTGTTCAGGCGCAAGACAAGGACAAGGACGGCAGCATCTCTTTGGAGGAGTTCCTGCAGAACGAAGGCGGTAAGACGAACATTTCCTTTAAAAAACCATGAGTAGCAGCAGCAGTATCAGAAGCAGCAGCAGAAAGGATAACAGCAGTAGAAGCAGTAGCAGCAGCAGCAGAAACAGCAACAGCAGCACCAACAACACCTGCAACAGCAATAGCAAAAACAGCAGAGACAGCGGCACCAGCAATAGCCGCGGACGCAGCACTATCTATTCTTTTCGTCTATACATATATTTATTATGTATATAATATATATACGCATATGTATATATTTAGATATGTATATATACACATATATATATATATATATATGTATCCATATACATTATGTATATACATATGTGTATATATATACATATATATATATATATATGTATATATGTATAATATATACATAGTATAATGCATATAATATACACACACATATAATATATATATATATATATATGTATATATATATATATATTTGCGTATAGGGACTCTAACGGATACTGAGCGTGAGGAGTTGACTCGGGAGTTTTCTTCTTACGACAAGAATGGAGACAAGAAAATAGATGAGGCGGAGCTGCGAGCAGTTATTCAAGACCCGCATGCACATGATATGCAGCAGATGATGGAGTCTCTGATGGGGGAGATGGAGGACGGTAAGATAAGCAAAGAGCAATGGACAGAAAAGTTTGAAACCTTCTCCGTCTCTATGCTCACCGACAACGGAGAGCTACTGCGCTTCCCTGAAGAATATGAAGGCATTCAGCTACCCTTCAAAGGCATCAGCCTGGGGCCAGGAGAAGAAGAAGAACTGCAGCATGATGAGTTATGATGCACTCGTGCGGCTGCTGCTGCTGCTGCAGTTGCTGCAGTTGCTGCACTTGCAGCGGCTGAAGGAGGGGCATGTAAGACACAAACAACTAAGCTGCTCGCAGCACCTCAGGAGACAGCTGGTGAGGTTACGCCTTTTGTCTGTCTTGAAGCGCGGCTGCAGCACAGCCCATCTAGCCAGCGAGCTAGTTAGCTAGCTAGCGAGCGAGCTAGCTACGTAGCTGGGTGGATAGCTAGCTGCGTAGGTGGCTGGCAAGCTACGTAGCTGGCTAGTAGCAGCCGGCGGGGGGCGCCTGCGCCAGATGCAAGGGCGCTGCTCTGCAGTTGGGTAGCTGGCTAGCTAGCAAGCTAGCTAGCTAGCTGGCGAGCTAGTTATCTGACTAGCTAGGGTTTATTTTGAGGACCCCATCCCCTCTTTTCGCAGTCAGCTAGCTGTATTTCTTTGGCTAGCTCCTTTGGCTAGCTGCTGCGACTGCAAACCTTGGAGTCTGGCTTTCTTCGCTTCAACACAGTGTAGGGGTTAAGGGACTTCGCAGCTGCAGATACACCACCGGTTTGGGTAGCCAATGCAAGCTGCAGCAGCAACAGCAGTTGCTGCAGCAGGAGCAGCCGCAGCAGGAGCAGCCGCAGCAGGAGCAGCAGCAGCAGTAGCAGCCGCAGCAGCAGCAGTAGCAGCCGCAGCAGCAGCAGCAGTTGGGAGGTTTACTGCATGTGGGGTTTAGGGGTTGTGGGCGTTCTCCCTTTGTAGAAGGAAGGGCGGTTTAAAGGAGAAAATGAAGGTTAGATGTCGTTGATATGTAGAAATGGTGTGGGGCTGTATCGTTCGAGTGTCTTTCTACGTGCGGAGACAGTAGGAAGTGTGGGCTGAGGGATAGCAGAGTAAGACACTGCAAGCAAAAGGGAAGTTGCTGCTTGTGTCTGCAGCGCGGAATTGTAAGGGGATTAAGGTTTAGGGTTTTCGGGTGTTGCTTGCTGCTGCTTGGTTTTCTCAGAGTTGAATAAGTTTAGTGTCCTCGGTGGGGTATTATCAGCATATGCTAGGAAGAGATGCATAATTCTAGAGCAGTATATACACCCGAATTACTAATTCTTGCCGCATTTCCGCTTTAAACACCAACATATGCTGTTATGCTCTTCAGCGTTATCGTTGCTGCTGCTGCTGCTGCTGCTGCTGCTGCTGCTCTGCTGCAGTGCACAGGGGACAATAGCAGCAGCAGGGGTATAAGTATATACCAGCAGTAGGGGGCTTATCTTCTCAAGAGTTATACTTAATCCTAAACAAACAAGGAAAATTAATGTTAAAAGAAAGATAAAGAAAACTAGTACTTCGGTGCTACTGTATCGATGCTGCTGGTGTGCGCTGGCGTGAGAGGGCCCGCAGGCTGAGGGCGATGGATGTTCGTTTGCAATGTAGCGAAGCTGGTATATATATAAATTGTTCTTTTTTTTTTCCTTTTTCTAAATGCTTTTTTAATCGTGCGGGAGACCCTAAGTTCATCATAGGTCTCCAGACCATTGGGTAGACCTTGAGACAGACAGAATGCATTTGATTTTCTTGCTTTTCTTCTGCGTAGCGAAGGCAGTTTGTGCATTAGAAGTGCAGCTAACTGTCCCTCAGACTAGAGAGGTTCTTACAGTAGAGAGGGTTTCCGAATATGGGCCTTCTGCTTCTTTTCCATCCGCCGTATCTTTTACTGCTGCTGCAGCACATGCTGCTGAATCCAGGGGAGATAAAGTAATCGCCTTCTATACAGAGGCCCCAGGAAAAGCAGAAGGCCCCAGCAGACGCAGACGTAAAAGAGGCGTACAGCTTTCTTTCACTTGGGGGGCCTTGTTCTTTGCTGCACTTTCGCTCGTGTGGATTTCTACAAATTGTCTTAAGAAGATCATCGCTACGCCTTCGGACACAGACAGTGATAAATCTTCTTCTTCAGACGAGTACTCATCTGTGAGTCATATGGATATATATATGTATATGTATATGTATATGTATACGTATATGTATATGTATATGTATATGTATATGTATGAATAATAATATATGTATGCGCATTGCTCAGCAGCGGCAGCAGCAGCAGCAGCAATAATTCCAGCAGCAGCATCAATAACACCACCAGCAGCAGTATTAACACCAGCAACAGCAGCAGCAGCAGCAATAGCGGAGCAGCAGCAGCAGCAATAACACCAGCAGCAGCAGGCACCGTTCAGTTGGCGTACCAAATATATATGTATATATATGTATATGTATATATTCCTGCTGTGTGCGTTGTGCATCAAGTTAAGAAGCAGCAGCAATAGCAGCAGAAGCAATAACAACAGCAGCAGCAAATAGCAGCAGCAGCAATAGCAGCAGCAGCAATAGCAACTGCAGCAATAGCAGCAGCAACACACTTGCATACTACATAATATATATATATATGTATATATCTTACCCTGTGGAGTTGGGCTGTACCTGCTGCTGCTGCTATTGCTGCTGCTGGTGCTGCTTCATAACTATGCATAACTCACACAGCAGGGAATACCTGATGAATACCACATTATCAGCATTGTCGAGCGATAGAACCCGTATATTGTATTATATTATATTGCATTACATTACATTATATTGTATTACATAATATTGAAGTATATATATAATATAATAATAGTTATAACTGAGTCTAGTGAAGATGTTTGGGGCCGCGTAGTGGGTGTTTTGTCTCAGGACGTGCGCTGAAATCGACTTCTTATCTTCCCAACACTGCATGCATGCATGCAGTGTTGGCCCGTGGCGGCTTTGGGGCTTTGAGGTACAGGCGGCATACAAGACACCGTGAGGTCGCAAAGGTTATATATATATATATATATATATAATGCTTGTGTATATATAGCACTGAGCTTTGCACACTTTTGTGTGCAAACGTATGCATTTACCTGATTATTTAGGGCTAGTATTTCTTTTTGTCGGTGGAGTGATTGGTGTGGGGGAGCACCAGCGGCTGAGTAATAGAGTCATTGTTCAGGAGAAGCCCCTTTTAAGCTCTTCCACTTGGTCTACTGAACTGTCTCACTTAAAGGGCGCTAAGGATCTGTCGCAGTTCATTTCCTCGGCAGCTGCTTAACCGATTTATAGCTTTTGTGTGGGTATATTGGATTGTATGTACATGTATATACATATGTATGTATGTATGCAAACGGATACATACGTATACATGTATATATATATATATATAGAGGGAGAGAGAGGGAGAGAGAGAGAGAAAAGAGAAAGAGAAAGAGAAAGAGAGAGAAAAAGCTGGGCAGCAGTTCCCAGGCTGTTCCGAGGATGCATTAATTTCATTGCGTTAGTGTCTTTGGTTGCAAGCAGTCTGAGGCTCAGCATCTCATGTTGTGTGTGGGTGTTGGTGTATCAGCGTCAGTGGTTGGCTGTTCACTGCTCTAAGGGGTCTGAGTCGTGCTCTGGAAACGTAAACCCTAAACTGCAAACCCTAATAAACCCTAATAAACCCTAGGGGTGGAGCCACTCTGTACCTGCCACGTTCTTCTCCGTGCATTCCTCTGTCAGTGACTACTGCGGTGCGCTAAGCCTTCCCGTTTGATTTTCATGAGCAGGGATTATCCGGTTGTGATTGCCTCTAACTCTGAACATACTCGATATCTGTTTTACGGAGTGTCTGTACTTTGCGGGGTGGCTTGGTTATCATTCGCATTCTTCTATTGCTAAGTCGATTACCGCTTTAAAACCAGAAGAAATGCAAGGGCTTCGGCTACCCACAGTAGCGATACTTATTCAATGTGCATGAGCCTCGTGGGCATGGTTAGCTGAGGGATCTTACTAATTATGCGCTAAGCAGTTTAGGCCCCAATTGAACAGGCTGTATACGCATTTTGTTTTGTTTGCGAATGAGACTTCAGCTGCACCGCATACCAGCCACACATACAGCTAGGGTAGATTGAGGAAGTTCATTATAATAAATATAAATAATAATAATGATCAGTAATTAACTGATTTGGAGGGTCAGTTTGAATGAAACGAACGGTTACGGTATACAGAGGGAATTTGTGCCTATGGGGCTTATTGCACTGACTGCATACACTCGGTCGCAGCCCAGGAGATTATGTAGAGTGGTTCTGTCTTTTCTTTTAAATGCACGCATCTTAGGAAGTGCGCTCTCATGTAGCGGCTGCTGCTCGGCTCAGTTTCATTTTGTATAGGCGGGGAATAAGGTTGTAGATGGGGGGGTTTGACGAGTTGAGTTGTGGGTGAATTTTTACGTCAGTTGGGCTGAACACATTGGTTGCCTGAAGGACGCCTTTAAGAGGGCTTTGGAACCAAGCAGCATGCATAATCGACATCATTCTTTCATCTAGGATGTGCGCTCTAGGGTTTTATAAAGAGGGGATGGCACAGCCGTTGGCTTTCTCGGGTATAGATGCATATATCCCCATTAGCTTGTGGTTTGGTTGGGACATGGATGCATTGGAGCAGTAATCGTTTGGTAATCTTGCAGCTGCTGGTGAGCAGATTCAGGCCTTACGCCAAAAGAAGATGACTGCTGCGCATTCCTCTGACAGGCGTCGTCTTGAAGCAGCGAAGGCTTCACTACTTCAAAATGTGAACAGCTGGGAAGGAGACCAGTAGGGATGCAGCAGTGTGTACTTGTATTGGCAGATGGGGTGGATTACTGCCCTCGGCAAGAAGGGCACATGGAGTGTTCTCTATACCCAACTTCATTGATGTCAGAGGCTATTCTTATTAATGAGAGGGAAAAAGCTGGAAAACGAGCCAAGCGCTTCGCCCGTGACGGTTTGTGTTTGTGTAGCGATGCGTAGGCTGTCGTTGCTGAAGCATGAGTGGTGTAGGGATGATTTGGCTCATGTGCAAGTGGCTTAACCATGGTTTGGCGTTGGAGACGATACATTTTCCTATCAGGTGCTACTGAGGCCGATCTCGGGCGGCAGTTGGGTGCCGTGTACTGACTTATGATTTCATTCATCAGCGGTATTCATCAGCGGCGCGAC